TTATAATCTATTCCTATGTCATCTTCTTCTTGTATCCTAAATCCTCCTGTTAAAGTATTTAGTTCTTTTTCCTTTGTCAATTCTTTTTTTAATTCTTCATTTTGTTTTTCTATTTTCCAATATATTTTTCCAAATTCTCTCGATTCCTTTTGTGACTTTTCACTCAGTTTTGTTATAGTTTGTTGAAGTGACTCAGTTTTTTCTTTTTCTTGTTTCAATTCATTTCTCAGCTGTTTTTCTTTTTCTTTATATACTAAGAAACTCTTTTCTATTTTTTCAAGTTCTATAAGTGCTTCTTTTTCTCTTTTTTCCTTTTGGTCATTTTTTTGTTTATATTCTAATTTTAATTTTGCTATTTCTTGTTCTTTATCCTGAATAGTTTTAACAAGGTCTTTGTTTTTGATTACTCGATTCATTTTTTGTTGTGTTGTTATTATCTTGGTACTTGTTGTTACTGTTGGTGGTATTTATAATTTTTATTCTAATATTTCCATGTCAATAGTTATTCCATCTTCTTCTACTTCTTTAAATGCTTGATACCATTCTTCTATGGTTAATTCTCTTTCTTTTTCTAGTTCCCCTTGTATATTTTCTTTAGAATCATTTAGAAATTCTTGCATCTTTATCATATTTTCTTCTAGTTGTTTCTTAAGTACGTCTTTCTTAAAAGATTTTTTTAAAGAGATTCCCAATATCATAATATAAGTGATTCTAAATCTTATTTTTAATTTTACCAAAAGTTTCTCCAAAAAATTCAATTCATTCCATCTTTGAGCATCTAATGATATCTTGTCACTTATTTCTTGTATTTTATCGATTTTTCTTTTTGTGGTATCAGTCATCACATGTTCACATTCTGGTCTTGCAATTTGTATTATTTCTTTAACACTATGTCCTAAAGCTAACATCATTTGTTGGTCTTTTTTCATGGTCTGTTTTGTCATTTTCTTTTTGAAATTATTACTGTTGTCCTGAAATTTGTTTTTCTCTTATCCTTTTATATATTTTTGTGGTATGAAATCCTTTCTATTTGTTTAGTATTCTTTCAATTTCAGAGTACCATTCTTCTTCCTTTTCTGATATTTTCTTTTGATAGTAATTTTTAAAGAATACACTATTATCTCTTTTCTCTACTAATTCTGCCAATTCTTTTTCAATATCTGTCATAATGTCCATTCTTTCTTTTATTCTTTCTCTCAATTCTTTTAATTTTTGTAATTTTAAAATTGGTTTTGTCTTTTTGTCTAGGCCATAAATTTTCATGATTTGGATTTCCTCAATAGTTGTCATTTTGTAAAAATTTGTTGTTTCTTTTAAATTTCTCTTGGAGTATTTGTAAGTTTTTTGCTATTTCCACTAATTTCTGTAGGTTTCCTATATTCTATATTCCATGGTTTCTTAAGCATTTCTTCCAAAGTTATTGGCCTAGGGTCTTCCCATTTGTTTCTGTGTTTAAGTATTTCTTATTTTCCAAAAGTTTCCCACTTATTCAGCCACTGGTTGACTGTTAAGTCATTTAGTTTTTCTATAGTCTTTGGTTGTGGTTCCCATCTTCCGTCTAGAATTTCCTTGGGTGCCTTCCATTTAGCAGTAAGTTTTTTGATCATTTCTTGTTTCATTTTTTTGATTTTTCTTGTCATATCATTTCTTAGTACCTTTTATACCCTTTTCATTACCGTGGTCTCTTCGGAGAAATTGGGTTAAAATAGATGAGTCATACAGTCAACAAAAAAGAGATTTTTGTATCAGTATAAAGCCCTATTAGAGATGTTATGACGTTGAGTTTTTAATGAAATAAGTATGTTCCTAAACCTTTAACTATGTTGTTAGTAATTTTCTCAGCTATTTGTTGGGTTGTACTATTAGTCAATATATTATCTATATTGGCTTCTACATATGTCATTATAAAATCTGTTAGATATTCAGTGAACTTCCCTTTTAATTGTGATATTATAAATTCACGGATTATCTCTGTACATCGTTTCCTAAAATGGCTTTTAAGAAATTTTCCGGTCTTATCTTTTAAAGCAGTGATTATCAAATCTTTTAATTTATTTCCTAATATAGATGTCAATGTTGACATTAAAGCTGTTTGTATAAAATTTATCTGCGGTTCATGTATCTCACTTCTCATATTATTAGTTATCCTCAATAATTTTTGTTCTTTATTCAAATTATCAAAATATTCCGAGTGTTGTCAGTTTCCATAGTAACTATTTCTCTTTCTAAAAACCACTCTTCTTTTTCCATTATATTGTTTAGTAAAATTTCTTTTATTATAATTGTTATATTGTCTGTTGTCATAATTATTTTCATTGTCATTTTTTATTATCAACCTGCTTCCTTTATTATTTCTTTTGATAAATACATTTACTTTTTTATGGTCATAAGAATAATGTCCATTTCCATTACATGAGTGGCAAACCTTTCTCATTAATTGTATTTTTACTTCTGAAAGCATATTTCTTTTATCCGGTGTTGGGCAATCTCCTGCCATATGTCCTAATCCTTGGCAATTAAAACATTTGGTTGTACTATTCAATACTTCTTGTTTCTTTCTTCTATCTCTTGCCATTGATTTTGATTCATTTATTATATTTTGTGGGCATTGTCTCTTGATGTGTCCTAATTCTCCGCATGAGTCACATGTTTTATCCTTAGTTGTTGATTCCATTCTTTTTCCTGGGCATTCATTTGCATAATGTCCTAATTCTCCACACTTAAAATATTTGGTTTGTTCTCTTTCCTGTTTATGCAATTCCATCTTAATTGTTCCTCCTGAAGGTCCATATCCAAAATTTCCTTGTCCTATATAATGATCTTTATTTCCAAATTCATTTATATGTTTTGTTTCATCTTCTGATATTTGAATATTTCTTATTCCAAATCTATTTCTCCTGGTTCCTTGCATATTCCTTCGTTCTCCTCTTCCTCTTTGTCTATTATAATTTCTCTCATAATGGTTTTTGTAATACAATTGTCTTATATCATCTTTTATCATTCTTTGTGCTGCAAAAGTTATTATTCCTTGTAATGTCACATTTCCTCCACTTGCTTCTATTGCTGCAGTATGATCATTAATTATTTTTACTAAATCAGGGTAATTTCTTAATGCTGTGATATATTGGTTTTTTAATGAAAATTCATGATTAGTAGTGTTTAATTGTGCTTCTCTCATTGCATTATCAAATTGAATATTAAAATTTGATAAACTTTCATATTGTGTGTGATCATATTTCATACTCATTAACCTATGATATGCTTCAGCATTATATGTTGGTGATACCCAAGTTCTTCTTATTAATTCATAAAATCCTATTTGGCCAGTTATTTGTCGTTCATATCCTCCCGGTGCGTTATACCAAAATCTAAATGGTTCTAATGTTCTTGGTCTTTCCCATTCTTTTAAACCCTTATACATTGTTGCTGCTGTAGATTTCCATTTGGTTACTAATATATCTATTACTTGTTTTGTTCTTTCACAATGTCCTGGTGGGTTAATAGGGTCTGCTCCTGCTGTGTGTGTTATTCCTGTGGTACTTACTTGTGCTTCTATCAGTGCTAGCCCATCTCTGTGTCTATTTCCTGTAGGTCCTCTGTCTCTATGTCCTGTTGTTTTATATTCTGTTGCATGTTTATATTTATTATTTTTAGGGTCCCCATAATATAGTTCATCTGGTTCTGCTCCTGTAGGTAGTCCTAAAACTGTTACCCATCTTTTTACTTCTTCTATATATTTATTAACATCTTCTGCTTTTCCATAAAATTCTGGTAATGCATCTAAATGTTTCCTAAGTTCCACTGTTGGTTTTTCATTCCATTTTAGTATCCTTTCTCTTTCTTGATTATTTAGTGTTTGTACTGTACTAAATATTTCTGTGTCTGACATTTTTTTCTTTTTTGGTTCTGTTTTTGGTTTTGGTAGTATGGCTGGTGGGGTATTTATAGTTATTTCTGGTTCTTCTATTGTTGTTTCATCATTTAAAATACCAAATTTCATGTTATTATCTTCTTCTATCTTTGGTTCTTCTGTCTCTTCTTCTGAGAATATTTCTGATATTTCTTCATTTTTTAAAGGTTCTTCTATTTCATTATCTGTTTTATAATTATCATATATTATTTGTTCATCATTGTGATAGGTATACCCTAGTCCTTCTCCATAATTTAGTCTCTGTAACACTATTCCTCTCCAATATTCTAATTTATCTCGTATAGATCTTGAAATTGTTTGTAATGTTTGTATATTTCCTTCTTCATAATTTATATTATTTTCATATTCTTCAGGTGTTGTTAAATATTTATCCTTTTGTCTTGCTTGTTCTTTCCAAAATTCTTCCTCTTTTTGTAATTCCTGTAAGTGTCTTTTTAAATTTTGTAAGTTTTCAGTTTCAAAATATGTTTCGTCTTCCATTTATTTTTCTCCTATGTCTTTAAGGTAGTCTTCTTTTATTTTTCTATTTTCTTCTAATTCGTTAATTAT